AATTGATATGAACCACTAAACACTCCAAATAACCACAGAATAAGTTCAGGAACCACACTACTTGATATCAAACTATACTACAAAGCTATAGTTAATCAAAACAGCATGGTACTAGCATACAAACAGATATTTACATATTAATGGAACAGAATTAGAGAGCGCAGTAATAAACCCACACCTTTATAGTCAATCTTAGACAAAGGAGGCAAAAACATACAATGGGGTAAGGATAATCTATTCAATAAATGGTTTGGGAAAATTGGACAGACACATGCAAAAAGTTAAACTAGACTGCCTTTTACACCATACACAAGAATAAACTTACAATGGCATGGGAGATGTTCAAGCAATGTGTTATAGAATTGTGCACGTGAAACCTGTATAATTTTGTTAACTATTGTCACCCAGTGAATTCAATAAAAGGAAAAAATGTAAATAAGAATGCAAGTAAAACAGATTTCATGATGTACTCCAGGAAATAAGGTGCTGGCAGTTCTGAAACAACTAAATTTGAAGGTGTCACACTGTTTAACTAGAACATGTTCATGTGACCAAACCACAAGTTGGAAATTCTATTCAGTTGTCATATCTGAGAGTTTCCTCTGTTGAAAAAGAAGGGGACAGAGATCCATATTGTGTTTAAAGTGATGAAAGTAACAGCTTACCCATTATTTTTTTTTGCAGATTTAGCCTTAAGGAAAGATTCTTTGAATAATCTGCTGCCAAAAAGCAGAATAATAAGTTGATCAACGATGCCACCAATTTACAAAAGCTGCCAGTGAATCTGAATTGTCCATTGAACCATAAGGAACTGGTCTAGTGAATGGACTTAAGAGATCTGTTGTTGAACAGATTTGGGCTACATTCGTAGGTGGAAAGGGATCTCATGGCACAGAGAATCCTCTGACAGAACAAGACATGGTGTCACACACAGAGGCAACAAGGGGCCTCTCCCCGTGGGGGAGCAGATCCTTCCCGCAGAGAAGTCAGAGGTGCAGAGAGTACACGCAGCCTGAACCTTCTGGACCTCATGGTCCGTGTTGCAGCAGAAACTTTGAAGCTTACTTGGTGGAAGGTTATTTTGTATACCAAATGGGGGGATGTTCCTGGAGAGCTAGAAGCCCAGAAAAAGAGGAGACTTTATTATGGCCTTCCCAAAAATAATTCCTAGCAATACACACTGGGCTCGTGAGAGAAGAGAATACCAATAGGTTCTGCCAGAGGGTGCAGATCTCCACAGTTCACCGGAACACTTAGAATGACCTATTATTTCTTAGCCTGTGGAGATAACGTGTCTTTTAAATGAGTTTCCACTATAAAATGATTTCCTCCACCTTGGGACACAACACTTCTCAGAAGTTCAATTATTTGTTTGTACTTCAGGCGTATTCACATACATGTAGCTGGCTATCATTTTGCTGGCCCTCATTTAGCAATTTTGAACAGAAACAGATAAATTGAAGAATAGACACGTCCCTAAATTTCACAGGAAAATGTGTCCAAAAAGGGGGGGGGGGGGCAAGAATATCCAGCAATTAATGTGGAAGAATTCATTCAGCAACCATCTGCTTTGGCTGCTACAAAGTGAACTTTTCAAAAATGTTGGTAACGCTAATTTTTGCTTACAGACAAAGATAACTGACCAAGAAGAAAAATTGCAAAACAAAAGTAGCAGCCATGCTCTATTTCTCAGAAAAGGGGGGTTAAGGATGGCAAAAAAGAGGCATGGCCATACCTGTCTAGCTATGATTAGGCTTATATAAATAACACAAACATGAACTTTAAAGAAATCAGTGAACTTATCATTAAGCATTTTTGGCATTTTGATAATGAAATGAAATGTAAACCAGATGTATTAATATAAAAAAGGCTGAAGATAATGCTTATGCATATTCTGTATAACTTTTACTAAAATCAAGTTTAAAAACTCTGTCCCACCAAAACCAGTTTGGCTCAGTGCATAGAGCATCAGCCTGCTGACTGAAGGGTTCCGGGTTCGATTCCAGTCAAGGGCATGTACCTTGGTTGTGGGCACATCCCCAGTAGGGAGTGTGCAGGAGGCAGCTGATTGGTGTTTCTCTCTCATCGATGTTTCTAACTCTCTATCCCTCTCTCTTCCTCTCTGTAAAAAATCAATAAAATATATCTTAAAAAAAATAAATAATAAGAGTAGTGCCCTTCAGAGGGAGAAACCAAGATGGCGGCATAGGGTAGACACCTGAATGCAGCCTACCACAACAAATTTGAATTTAGAACTGGAAAACAGGGGAAACATCTCCCTGAAGCACCGAACGGCTGGCTGAGAGGAGGCTCTACCATCTGGGAAGGAGAGAGAAGGCCCGCTGAACCTCAGGAACTGTGAAGGTGTGGAGAACTGTGCGCACGAAAAGGCGGCTGCCTGATTTTGCTGCTGGCTTGCTTGCGGAGTGCAGAGAGGGCGGGCTGAGTTCGCTGCTGGCTTACTCCCTGCCCACGGAGAGGGCGGACAGCTAATGCGTGGCTGGCTTTCTTGTGCGGGAGGAAAACAGAACCACCCTATTGCTCTGATAGACAGCCCCAGACAGGGAGAGGCCAGACTGTCAGGCAGTGGGCAGAGATCTCTCGGAGGTATGTGAAGCCAGTGGCCATTACTGCGGGACTCAGAAACCAGATCCTCGTAGGGAGGGGCTGAATACAGCTTGTCTGCACCATCCGAGACTCTGCCCCATCCAAGTGGAGCACAGAAGCCCTTCCAGTGGCTAGCTTCCTCGTTCGCTGCCAATAGGACTCTCCTAGGGAGGGGCAGACAGGAATCCAAAGCTTGTCTGCACCTATACCAAAGAGGTGCGCGTGCCTGCAACCAATCTTCGGGTTTCACCAAAGCTTGTCTGTGCCACCCCAAGACTCTGCCCCATCCAAGCAGAATATAGAAACCCTCCTAGCTGAGACACTTCTGATCTTCATAGCCAATTGGCTTGGAAATCAACGCTTCCCAGTGATTCCAAAAACAAGCAAGGCTTAACAACAAGACTGCACCCACAGCCCATAAAGGGCTACACCAAGACTGTCCACCTCAGGTAACTGGGAGGCTGACCCACTGAACCATATAGGACACCACCCTACCAACTCAGGGAAGCTGTGAAAATGCCGAGACAAGGAAATAGATCACAAACAAAAGATATGGAGGACAAGAGAGACTGGATATAGAGTTCAAAACCACGCTTATAAGGTTTTTCAAGAGTTTCCTAGAAAAGGCCGATAAAATAAATGAGACCTATGAGGAGATGGAAAGGGATCAACTAGAAATAAAGAATACATTGTCTGAAATAAAAAATATTATACAGAGTTCGAAAAACAGAATGGAAGATCGCAAGAATCAAGTCAAAGATTTGGAATACAAAGAGCCAGAGGACACTCCTCCACAGAAGCAAGACGATAAGAGAATCCAGAAAGTTGAAGATAGTGTAAGAAACTTCTGGGACAATTTCAAACAAACCAACATCAGAATTATGGGGGTCCCAGAAGAAGAGAGAGAGCAAAATACTGAAAACATACTGAAAGAAATAGTGACAGAAAACTTCCCCCACCTGGGGAAAGAAATAGACTTACAAGTCCAGAAAGTGCACAGAACCCCAAACAAAAGGAATCCAAAGAAGAACACACCAAGACACGTCATAATTAAAATGCCAAGAGCAAAAGACAAAGAGAGAATATTAAAAGCAGCAAGAGAAAAGCAGGTAGTTATCTATAAAGGAACACCCATTCAATTGTCAGTTGATTTCTCAACAGAAACCATGCAGGCCAGATGGGAATGGCAAGAAATATTCAAGGTGATGAATAACAAGAATCTACAGCCAAGCTGGGACCGGTTTGGCTCAATGGATAGATCATCGGCTTGGGGACTGAAGGGTCCGGGTTCGATTCCGGTCAGGGGCATGTACCTTGGTTGTGGGCATGTCCCCAGTGGGGGGTGTGCAAGAGGCAGCTGATCGATGAGTCTCTCTCATCGATGTTTCTAACTCTCTATCTCTCTCCCTTCCTCTCTGTATAAAATCAATAAAATATATTTAAAAAAAAAAAAAAGAATCTACAGCCAAAATACTCTACCCAGCAAAGCTATCACTCAGAATCGAAGGTCAGATAAAGAGCTTCACAAATAAAAAAAAAGCTAAAGGAATTCATCACCACCAAACCAGAATTATATGAATTGCTGAAGGGGGTTCTTTAGGAAGAGGAAGAAGATATAGATAAAAATTATGATCAACAAATATGCAAATATGAACAAGTGAATCTAAAAACCCAGGGAATAAAAAACCTGACGAAAAATATTAACTGGTGAATATAATAGAATCAGAGGTATGGAAGGGGAGTGAACTGACGATTCTTGGGGAAAAGGGGAGTGGGGAGTGTGGAAAGAGTCTGAACAAAAACTGTGCACCTATGGATGAGGACAATGGGGGGTGTGGAAAGGGCAGAGGGTGGGGTGGGAACCTGGTGGAGGAGAGCAATGGAGGGGGGGAAAAATGAGGAACATTTGTAATAATATGAACAATAAAGATTTATTTAAAAAAATAAAAATAAATAAATAAATAAATAAATAAAAATAAAAAAGTAGTGCCCTTCAGGCAGTTTTCTTTAAAAAATAATAATAATAAAAATGAAAACACTGTTCCAACAAAACAAAAAAAGAATTACTCTTATATACTAAACAAGTGTAGGGCACAATTACCAGTTTTGGCATATGTTCTAATCACATTTTACAGTTTTATGGTTATTTTTTCTAGTGCTGTAGACGGTAGCACAATAGCTCAGTGATCAAGGAGCACAGGCTCCTTGTGTCCGGTCAGGCAGGCCTGGATGTGAAACCTGCCCCACTATTTATTTGCAGTGTGGCTTTTGAGCCTCGTTTTCTTTATTTGTAAAAAAAAATGATAGTGGAACCTATCTCATAAGGGACTAATCAACAAACATGGCCATTATTATTAATAGTAATAAACATTAATATTTTGCTTCTGTTGTAGATGATGTTAAAAAACTGTTGAGAGAGTTAGATGTCATGAACTCTGTTATTGCTCAGCTTGCACCAGAAGGTAAATTGGCATCCTATATGTGTTTTAAAAAATGGGACTGGTGAACTTTTCACACTTGATTACACTGCTTATTAAAACTGCTTAAGAAATATCAGTGGTGAGTTGTCATTAAAATCTCTCCAACCAAGAGGGCCTCCAGCCAAGGTAAGATTTGTGGAGCTTTGGTTTTCGGAACATGTTTTAAAACAGGCGTCCTCAAACTTTTTAAAGTGGGGGCCAGATCACGGTCCCTCAGAGAGCTGGAGGGCCGGACTATATGAACTACTAATTCCTACTGTAACACCTCGGCTGCGCTCACTGCCCAAAAAACCTGGCGGGCCGGATCAGACTCCTCTGCGGGCCGCATGTGGCCCGCGGGCCGTAGTTTGAAGACGCCTGAAAAATTTAAAGTAATGGTTGAATAGGTATTTAGCACACTCATGTCATTTATTTTTCGCATGCAGAAGAGGTAGTTATCCACGAGTTTGCTAGTCTTTGCCTAGCAAACATGTCTGCGGAGTACACCAGCAAAGTGCAGATATTCGAACACGGTGGCTTAGAGCCCCTCATCAGACTGCTGAGCAGCCCCGACCCCGATGTGAAGAAGAACTCCATTGAGTGCATTTACAACCTGGTCCAGGTAAGTTTCATTCCTAAAATGTATTTTGACCAAAACTTGATTGTAGGATTTGCTTTCCTATTAAAAAGAAAAAGCTTGAAACTCACCAGTTTTAATTAGTACTTCTTAGTACTATTTAATAGTGATCATTCAGGAATAAAGGAAGTTTAGTGTAGATTCCTTTCAATTTTTGCAAGTATTTTGTCTCCCATGAAAGGGCATTTTTAGAGATGTATTTTTTAATTCTAAAAGAATGGCATGGTTTACAAATTAAGATGGAATTATACTAGATAAAATGTATTTCTTCTGGAACGGGAAATCTAATGTTCATGTTTAACTAGGTTTGACCTATTGATCTAGCCTTGGTGCCCTGAGCACAGTGGGTGTAATAGACGCCCTCCTCGGTGTCTCAGGATTTTGGAACAGGTGTATTCATTGGTGAAAGCCTGTGAGTTGAGGACACTGAGCAGAACTCATCATTCACAACTGTAAGATGTGACCTCACTGTTCTGCTCTCTTTTGTAATGGAAACTGACAACCTTCTTCTCCCCAACCTGGCTTGCTCTCTGTTCCCCACCTCTGCCCCAACAAACATTCAAACTCTTTAAAAAAAAAAAATTTTTTTTTATTGATTTCAGAGAGGAAGGGAGAGAGAATCATTGATCAGCTGCCTCCTGCATGCTCCCTACCCCCCCCCCTACTCCCCCCGGGATCGAGCCAGCAACCCAGGCACATGGCCTGGACTGGAATCAAACCTGTGACCCTTCAGTCCTCAGGCCCATGCTCTATCCACTGAGCCAAGCCGGCCAGGGCAACATTCGAAGTCTTACACCCACAGCAGGTCAGTTCCCTGACACTATGAGCAATTATGGACACCCTTCTCTGCTTCCTTTCTCGCTCAGGTTCCTGAACAATTCTCACACACATTTGATTAGCTTAGATCAACTGAAAATACAAATATACCACTGTAAGTAGCCAGCAGTAGAGTGTGAAAGGGAGAGATGGCAAAGCAAAGATGAGGGAGGGTTCTGGGTAAACTGTCTCGACGTATCATACAGAAAAAGAGAGACCAAGAGGCTTATGCCAAAGGCAGCAAAAGCACTCACTTGTGGCCTAGCAGCCCTTGCACTTGGCTGGGCAGTGACTGGTTTTACCATTGCTTCTCCCTAAAGGGCATCCTGAGAGAACAGCTCAGCTTTGTTTCCCTTTTCTGGTTACTGAAGGCTTTACCTTACCCGATAGGCCAAAATAATCCTCCAAGACTGTGTGTGCTTTATATCCCAAGTTTCTTTCCAGCTCTTTTTGGCAATATTTTTAAGAAATATGTTTTTACTGATATTAGAGAGAGAGGAGGGGGAGGGATAAAATTTTAAAGAGAGACATTGATGAGAGAGAAACATCAATTGGCTGCCTCCTGCATGCCTCCCACTGGGAATGGAGCCCCAAATCCAGCATGTGCCCTGACCAGGAACCAACTGGTGACCTCTTGTGCAGGGGACCATGCTCAATCAGCTGAGCCACACTGGCTGGGTTCCCATATACTTTTTTTTCATCAATAAACAGGAATGAAAAGACCTCCACTATTCATAACAGAAGCACTAGTTAATAATCGTGTTATTAATTTCTCAGGACTGTGGTAACAAAGTACCACATACTGGGTGGCTTCAAACAATAGGATTTATTCTCTAACAGTGCTGGAAGCTGGATTTCTGAAATCAAGGTGTCAGGAGGGGCATGCTCCCTCTGTGATTCTGGGTAAAACCCATCCTTGACTCTTTCCAGAGTCTGATGATGGCATCAATCCTTGGTGTCTCTTGGTTTGCAGCGGTAGCAGTGCAGTCTCTCCCTCTGTCATTTCTTCTCTTGTTACAAAGACACCAATTTTTATAAGGACACCATTAAGAACCCACACTAAGCTATTATGGCCTTAACTTAGTTATATATGCAATGACCCTGTTAAAATAAGGTCACATTTTTTAGGAACTGAAGGTAGTACTTCAACCTATATTTTGGGGGGTACAATTCAACACAAAACCCATTTTTTTATGTCTGAAGGAAGCTGAATATTAACAGTTGAGGATGGCTAGAGGAAAGCTAAGCTGTAAGTGAGGCCTTTTCCACTCATAATATTTTTTTTTTTTTTTTTTTTTTTTTTTTTTTTTTACATTTTGACATAAAATGTCAGAGCTTGGGAGCTTTTTATGGCATTTTGTCTTGTTTTCTCCATTGTTCATTCTAGCCAACCCCTTCCTACCAAATCACACACACCAAATTATAGACAATGCAGAGCAATTTGCCTAGACTCTAATGACCTCTTGATATTGTAAATTTCTTAAATAAAGGTCATGTGTCTGAACTAAACCTGATGTGAATTTGCATGCACAAGGCCTGCAAATAGCATTGCATTTCATAAACGATCCTTTTGAATAAAGATAATAAAGAACTGATGCCATAATTTCATTTTATCAAATACTATTTGACACAGGACAGAGAATGTGAAAAGAATTTCATTATGAGTAGCTTTCATTGTAATACTATTCATGGTAATAAAAACTTGCTATAAAATAAAAAAACAATAGATACTGTATAAGTCATAGATATGTCTGTTTCCTGTTATTGGCAATGTCTGCATAGTTACAATAAATATTTTGGTGTTGTCGAATGAGGGTTTTCTTATTTTCGTTTATGAATTATTTTGAAAAGGAATTTGGAATGAAAGATTTCAAAACTATAACTTAGAATATTCTTTGTTAGAAAATTGAAATTCTCCATTATTGAGACTATATTTTGCTTTCAAATTTACTTATTTGATCATTTGTATTTCATGGCAGGAATTTAAATGTCGAACTACACTTCCAGAACTAAATGCCATCCCTCCTATATTAGAGCTTTTTAAGTCAGAATATCCAATTATTCAGTTGTTGGCTCTCAAAACCTTAGGTGTTATTACAAATGATAAGCTGTCGCGAGCAATGTTAAGAGACAATCAAGGGATGGATCACCTTATTAAGATTCTGGAAACTAAGGTATTTAAAACATTTGTTCAACTGTCTATGAGGAAATGTATCGCTCCTAAATGCTGTTATAAAATATGAAAATTATAGAATATTTTTAATTTTTTAGAAGAATTTGTAAAATAAAATTTTATTATATTTAAGCATGGTACTAAATATAGTGGACTAATTTGCTTATCGCTACATAATTTTATCAGCTTGATTAAATCAGAGTAATGATAAAGGCCATTGTAAAATAATTTTTTAAAATTTCCTTGGAGGTTTCTCAAAAAATTAAAAACAGAACCACCATATGACTCAGCAATTCCACTTTGGGGTATTTATCTAAAGAAAATCAAAACACTGTCGTGGTATTCCACACAGCATCTTTCTGTGTTTCTCTCACTTTAAGGATGTCCGTCTTAAATTTCTAGCTCAGGTGAGGCTGCAGTTTCACTGCTCTGGGGGTTTGGGAGATTCCTCAGGCAGGAAAGCGAATTTTAAGGAATATAATTTTCTTCAGCTTCTGTTTGCTTTTTCAAAATTTTTTTCTCCAGATTTGAACATTGTTTTTGGTGAAACATTGTATGAGTACCTTCACTTGAATATCATTACCAGAAGTTTCCAGGAATTGTTTTTATCTATAAAACCCTTTGGAGTAGGGAGATGAGAAAACCTGGGGCAAACTGTCAGGGAGAGTGATGTCATGTTAATGAGCAGAACTGTTTCCTGGGGCCTCTGTCCCATCAAAATCAATTACATTATGTTCTGAATGACCAGAGTTCCTCTTGTGTAAAATTTGGAAAGTATAAATTTATTTTAGTATAACTTTTTAAAATTGTGTTTGCTTTTATTGTTAGGAATTGAATGACCTTCATATAGAAGCGCTTTCAGTGATAGCCAATTGCCTTGAAGATAAGGATACCATGGTGCAGATTCAACAGTCAGGGGGTCTTAAGAAGCTCTTAACATTTGCAGAAAACTCTACAATTCCTGATATTCAGAAGAATGCAGCAAAAGCAATTACAAAAGCAGCTTATGACCGTATGTCTCAATTTATGGAGTCTAAGCACACATATTCCGTCTGTATTCTTGATTTTGATTAGTACTAGCAAACACTAGAATATTTGTCTGCGTTTAAATGAATAGTTTGAGAATAGTGCTAATACTTACTGTTTAAGACCAAATTTCATCTTAATGCCAGTGAGTTAAAATAGATATTGCTTTGTCAAGGATATAATAAACAGAACATGATTTAATTATAACTCTATTTTAAATGAATAAGTCCTAAATTAAGTTTTAATTCTTTATTTCTCTTGATTTTGGAGTTATGCAGAATATGCTCATTGCTTGTGATCCTGAAAACATTATTTCAATAAATCCACATTTAGAATGATATCTATGTAGTAATTTCAGATTTCAGCTGAGTCAGTGCCATGTTATAGAGCTGTGAAAAATAATATGCTCATACTCTATATATAATGCAATTTCATTTCAGTGGCAAGACATAATGACATAAATCTGTAAAATATGAGAGATTAATTATATCACAAGCTCCAAAGATGAAGTTATAGTTTTAATTTATGTATATTTGGAGTATATGATTTAGTAAAAGATGTGACTTTATTTTTCCCCTTCCACATCACTCCTCATATAAATGATAACAACTCTGACTAGTTTAAGTGATTTATATTCTAAACAAATATACTCATATCTGTATATATGTCTCTGTGTATATTATGGGAAACATTTTCTTTTCAACCCATACTGGATTTCTTCAAGGCAAAGTTTTAATACAAAGCCAAATTTCACTGTCTGGTACATAGTTGATAATAGAGTGTGCCTTTGAGTTACATTATATGTGCCATATCTAAAGATAGGCTATAAAAAACAAGTTTTTTAATATTGGCAAAAGTTGGTTGATGGAACTAGACCTTACCATATCTGGTCAGTTCTGGTTGCTGTCTATCGCAGACCTCAGCTGTCTGAGACCCAATGAAAGGATAGCAGGAAGACAGGAACAAGGTCACACTTAAAATTTGTGTATATCTCAACTTCTCTTTGGATTAGTGTGTCAGCCCCTTTGGGGTTAGTGAGTTCCACGAGTTTATCACCTTCGTGTGATGCAGCAGAGGGAAGAACACTGCAGGGATAGTGTCTGGCGTTTTAGTTCTACTGCTAGTTCCACCGCTGGCACAGCACTGACCTCGATATGTGACTGTGCGTGAACTACAGCTTCTCTGGACCTATTTATTAACTCATTTATTAATGATTTACTGAATCCAGCTCCCTGGTGTCAATAAAGGCAGAACAGGCAGATAAATAGGCAATCACAATGCAAATGGGTTTGATGATGGAAGAATGAGGTCACCCCAGGAGGGCCACCTAAGACAGACTTGGATCAGAGAAGTCTTCCTGAAATAGAAAGGACCCGTTCAGACTAGAACCTAGAGTAAATAATGGAAATTGGCTCGGCAGAGGAGTTCCTGGTGGAAGTGGGGAGGATCAGCAGCACTGAAAGGTGATGGAACAGTGTGTGTAAAGGCCAGAGGGGGACAGAGCCTGGTAAGGTCCAGAACTGTAAGTTTTCAGAATGGTCAGTGAATAGAAGGTAGCAGAAAACTGAGAGTTAAGGTTATCCAGTAATGAGGAACCAAACGCTAATGGATGTTCTAAGTCAAGTTAAGGACTTTGAGCTTTATATTGATAGCAACAAAGAGCCTTGAATTGACATAGAAAGAGGAGGGAACATTGCAGATTTTCACTTTTTAAAGAAAGAGCACTTTTGTTGCAAAGATGAGGAAGGGGGTTGCTGGGGGAATTTTGGAGAGAGGTGAAGGTATCCTGAAACAGAGACATGGTACTTGGAATGGACTCAGAGGCAAGGAGAATGACCAGGACAGTTTGTGTGAGTGACCACATGCACTGAGGGAAGAAGCAGGTGATGCCTAGGATAAGGCCAGCTTTCTGGTCTCCACAGCTGGAAGTAGAAGGGTGAAACTCATAGAAATAGGAACTGAAGAAGAGAAGCAGGTTTTGATGGAAGAAAAGGAAAGTTCTATTCTTTTATTAACTGTCATAGAATACACATAATAGAACTTTTTCATCTTAATTATTTAAGTAACCAATAAATAAATTCACTTAACCATTAAGTAAATTCATGCTACTGTGCTGTCATCACCACAATTCACCCACTGAACTTGCTTCATCTTGCAAAACTGACACTTTCTCCCCATTAAACACTCCCCCCTCCCTGCAGTCCCTGGCAACTACCATTCTTTCTGTCTCTATGATTTCTAAATACTTACGTAAATGGAATTATACAATAATTGTCCCTTTGTGATTGGCTTATTTTACTTAGCATGCTGTTCTCAAGGTCTACTATTAGAATGTGTCAGAATTTCCTTCATTTTTAAAGTTGAATAGTATTCCATTGTATGTATACACCACATTTTGTTGATCCACTCATCCACTGATGGACATCTGGGTTGTTTCCACCCTCTGGCTATTGTGAATAATGCTGTTATTAACATGGATGTACAAATATCTCTTCAAGTCCCTGCTTTTAATTCTTTGGGGTATATACCAAGAAGTGGAATTATTAGGTCATTTGGTAATTCTATGCTTAATAGAGGATTCGCCATATTGTTTTCCCCAGCAGTGCACATGGGTTCAAATTTGTCCACTTATCACCAAAACTTATTTTTCATTTTTAAGTTGATTTTATTGGAGTGACATCTATACTAAAAAAAAGCATAATATGCTAATTAGACCGGACAGCTGAACAACCTTCCGGACATCTGGACATCCTTTTGGACAAAGCTGCAATGGGCAAGGGCCAAGGCAGAGGTGGTTAAGGGCAATCAGGCAGGCAGGCAGGTAAATGGTTAGGAGCCAATTATTTTGATATTGCCAGAGGGATGTCCAACTGCCGATTTAGGCCCCATGTGGAATTGGGCCTAAACCGGCAGTTGGACATCCCCAGAGGGGTTCTGGATTGCAAGAGGGCTGGGCTGAGGGGAACCCCCTCCTCGTGCACAAATTTTGTGCACCGGGCCTCTAGCTCGTTAATAAAGTTACAAAGATTTCAGGTGTACAAGTAGAGAATACATTATCTGTATAATATATTGTGTGTTCACCACCCCAAGTCAACTCTTCTTCCACCACCATTTATCCCCCTTTATTCCCTATTCAACCTCAACCCACCCCTTTTTTTAAAATAGAAGCCATTCTAATGGGTGTGAAATGGTATTTCACTGTGTTTTGATTTGCATTTCCCTAATGACAGCTATTTTGCTCATCTTCTCCCTGTGGTTATTAACCATTTATATATCTATTTGGAGAAATGTTTATTCAAATTCTCTGCCAATTTTTTAACCAGGTGGTTTATTTTTGTTGTTGTTGAGTTGTAGTAATTCTTTATATATTCTGGATATTAACCTGTTATAAGATACAAATATTTTCTCTCATTCTGTGTGTTATCTTTTCACTCTGTTGATTGTATCCTTTGATGCAGGAAAGTTTTTTATTTTGATATGGTCCAATTTATTTTCTTTTTCACCTGTGCTTTGGGTGTCAAATCCAAGAAATCATTTATGATATTAAATCCAATGTCATGAAGTTTTCCCCTTATGTTGTCTTCCAATAATTTTAGGTCTTTGACTTAATTTGAGTTGTTTTTATATATGGTATGAGGTAAGGATCCACCTTCATTCTTCTTAAAAAAATTTAAAAATTAAAATTTTTAAAATTGATTTCAGAGAGGAAGGGTGAGGAAGAGAGAGAGAAACATCAATGAGGAGAGAGAACCACTTACCAGCTGCCTCCTACATGTCCCCTACTGGGGACTGAGACCCCAATCTGGAATTGAACTGTGATCTAGTTCAAAGGTCGATGCTCTATCACTGAGCCCCACCAGATGGGCCAACTTCATTCTTTTGTACATGAATACCCAATGTACTAAGCACCATTTGTTGAAATCCATTCTTTATTTGTAGTACAAAAAAAAAAAAATTGACCAGATAGTCTTTAACTCTCACCTGGCACTTAATATTTTGTAAATCTACTACATTTCAATTCCAAATTGTGTCTCTTGACTATTTTAGAATCTAATACCTAAATCTGTATTTAGTTCACTAATTCCATTTATAATTTTTTTGCAGTCTAAAGAATCCTTGTCTTGTTTAGTCTCTCCCAATAATCATGTTCTCAGGTTATCCTGTAATCATTTTCTTGCCTTTTCTGGACTTCCTTGTGTTCATGATGTACAGTGTTTAATATATTGTGTGTTCATTGTATCTTTTTGAAGTACAGTAACAAGTATTATGGCCAACATTTAAAAAAACATATATCATAATGTATTTTATATAAAGATGAACTATTTTATTATTCATTTTCAATTTTAGTCTTATGGAGCAGGTATTTTAGTCAGGCTTTTGACCATATCCACATATTGAGCCAATCCCAAATTTTATTTTTCATTCAGCATGCAGACCTCAAAGTTTTTAATCTTAAATTCTACATTTTTTTTTATTTTGAAAAAATTCAAGTTTTGCTTTGCATTTTCATTAAGGCCTAGTATAATATATTACCAAATGTGTCCAAGAATCCTACTAGTATACAATCGTGGAAAAGTATACTCTTTGCCTACTATTTTAGCAGATACATGTATTGTATGCATGCAAAACACTATTCTAAAAGATAAGGATAACAATGAGATAAGTGATTAAATATTTGTTGAATAGACTAACAGGTATGTTTTTTGTAGAATGTAGAGCTTGCTATTTATCTTTTAGCTCTACTTTATAAATTATATTGTACAACTCTTTTGTCTTTATATTTTATTTTCTTTGATCTATCACTGATGAAAAGTGGTATGTTAGAAGCTTCCCATTATGTTGTTTCTGTTGCTTTTTTTCTTTATAACTTTAACTTTGCTTAATTTAATATTATTTTATATCCACTACTCATTTAAAAAAAAAATTCACTTACTGCTTTTAGCTTTAAATTCTAATGTATATTAAGATTGCCATGGCCCTACCCGG